TCTTGGCTACTAATCTACTCACTTGGTAAAAAAAAAAAAAAAAAAAAAAAGAGGCAATGCAATTTGCCCAGCATGATCTGGCTTTAACAAACACTTAGCTGACTTCTAACAATCATCTTGTTTGTTTTTAGCCATTTGCAAACCCATGACTTGATCATTTTTTTCTAGAATTTCTTCAGATACTGATGTCAAGTTGACCACACTGTAGATGTATAAGTTCACTTCTTCTTTGAAAATGGAAAAACATTAACTCTTCTCCACTCTTGAAGGTCTCCAGGCTTGAGACTTCTCCAGATTACATCCAGTGGTTCTGAGATGATCTATACCAGGGGTAGGCAATCTTGGTTCTTTTATGACTCATGGACTTCAACTCCCAGAATTCCTGAGCCAGCCAGGCTCAGCATCTAGAATTCTTGAACATTCTAGAATTTCTTTTGTTCGGGTACATGAATAACTGCAATTACTGTATTTATTTGGAAATCTAGAGTGAAGTCCCTTATACATTATCCAGGGAATAATTAAAATATTATATTCTTAACATAATTTAGCCTCCCCAAGTGGTATCAAATTCTGAAAGATGGCAATACGCTCCTTTTGACATCTCAAACAACAGCCTGGTCCTCAGTCATATTTGCCAACCCCTTTTCCTTGAACTTCTGATATATCAGCCAGGATTCCGTGCACACACACAATGGCCATAACCTTATACTGTTGTAAATCTAATCCTCCAAAGTCTGAGCAGAACTTGTTAGATGAAGTGGAACCATTGTTTTATTGATAGCAGGTCAGATGTCACTTGAAAAAGAAGTGCTTCCTCATCATATCTGCCATCATTACTGTATTTAAAGAAACTGAAGCTGTGTAACATTTTTTATTCTTGTAGTAATGCAGAATATATTCTTTAAAGTAACTTACAGTTCTATATTTGATAGTGCTTTTCTCTACTTCTTGCTGCATTTTATTTCCGTGCCCATTATTACAAACTATGGAGACAGCAAGGAACATACCAGAATGCCCACAAATAATAATGTAAATCTGTTCCACAAAATTAATACTAAGCATTAAGTAGGTAAAATTATATATGGTGATGATACACATTCTCCTCACAATTGGGAAGCCAATCTTACCAATCAGTGCACAGAGACAGATACACAACCCGCTTGAAATGTGGAATTGCCACTCAGCAGGTATATACAGAGGAAACACAAAACAATCTGGCTAATTGAAATAAAAGGATACATTTAAAGCCTACAAAGTTTTAAATTTATGCATGGCGATGAGCAAGTGGGGCGGTTTAACACCAACAGTAGGATAGCGAATGCCAATTTTCAATCTTGAAAATTTCTATTGCATTTCACGGTTTACTCTCACTTAAAAATACATACTGAGATGTGTGCATGAAGTCTGACCATAGATGTCCACAGGATGTGATTTTAAAAAAAGTCAATTTGGTGGCTACAATGGTGCTACTGAAGCTCATTTTTTAAATGTGCAACACAGGAGAACTCTGATAGTTGTCGTTGTGGTCACCATTTGGACTTTCAGACACTCTGAGGTGAGTATGATTTCTTTCTGCTTCCTAGTCTGTTCTGATTTCCAATTTATTTACAAAGCTACTGTAGAACTGTCTTAAGTTTACATTCTGCTTATTTATTCCTCGTAACACACATATTCACATCACCCTCTCCATAAGTGGAAGTGAAGCTGAAGTGTGGCATGTAGTATTGTCTATAATAGGGGTCTTCAAACTTGGCAACTTTATGACTTGTGGACTTCAACTCCCAGAATTTCTCAGCCAGCCAGGGCTGGCTGAGGAATTCTGGGAGATGAAGTCCACAAGTCTTAAAGTTGCCAAGTTTGAAAACCCCGTGGTCTATAACAAGCATGGAAACAGCAGAACAGATCTAGGGAAGGCTTTGTGGGGCTGGAAAACTTGTTGGAAGCCTCTGATTCAATTGACTGCTTCAAACCATTTTGATCCATGAATCTGCTTTGAAGTGGTGGTTTGATCCAAGGTCAAAGGAATTAAGGCATTCTTGAAAATCTTTGCATACAATTTCTGATATAACCTTTGGTTATTCAGACTTAGCACTGTACAGTTACTGCACTAAAAGAATCAACGCTGGGGAGGGTAGAGCTGTTAGCCTGAGATTTTCATTATAACTAAGCTGAATAATTTTGTCAGGAGAAAGAACGATGGATAGTGCATTTCATCCCCATCTCATGATCACAAGAAATCGTATTTAATCACAATTCCAGCTCCAGAGATTTTACCAGCTACTTCAAAAAGGCTTTCATATCAACTTTCAGCCATATAATACTATAAATTGGATTGTTTTTAAATGGAAGTTGGTCACCTAAAAGGGATCAAAATTCTCATTCAGTAGAACAATCTGTGCTTTCTTCTTTTTGGCACTTGTGGGCTATATTGCCTGAATTTTTCCATTTGTTTCATGAATATTTTTTTTAAAGAGGAATATTCTTTTTTTTTTTAAAGAGGAACATACATTTTACACCACAGATCTTTCTAAAGTAGAACCTGCTGCTTTACAGGTATTAAATATTATTTTAAATTGGGGAGTTGGGCTTAGTACAAAACTCCCCTTCTGAACAAAAGGGATCAATGGAGAGATTTCTTTCAGCAGATGCTAATTTTAAGAAAGGAAATGTTATTCCACTCAGCCTAGAAAAAACAACTACAGAATTTTTTTTAAAGAAGCAAGCTAGATAATTTCAGGGTACTCAGTGTAGAAAAGAAGAAATGAGTGACATTACTGATATGAAATAATATCTGAGAAATATCTAACATGCAACAGATAGCTTCTTAAAAAGATCCAGAAGACAGCACAGAACAGCTCAGGGTAAATTTCAACCGATCCCCTACATATCCCAGATCTGGCTTGCTGCATTTCATGAATTTGTGGTTCAATTCTATGCCCCTTTTCCTTCTGAAGTATTGGACATTTTGGACAGATGTCTTTTAGGACCACTCTCAGCATTTGAAAGAGGCCTTTCAGAGTGTATTAGCATGAAGAAACAGCTTTTCAAATTATTAAAGCAGCCATATCCTTTTTCAAGAGTTGGACAACTGTTTTTTATTTATTTATTTGTAAAATTTATTACCTGCTCATCTTACCACACAATAACTCTGGACAGCATACAATATTAAGTAACTTAATTAAGTTTAGAATGTGGTCCTGGTTATCAGCATGTGCAGATTCTGACAACTCTTTCACTGGGTCTTTCTGAAACAGATCAGCAGCGCATGGATGGATGTACAGAGCTAGCCAAGGATAACATTTGATGTGGCCATACAGAATTTGCAAAGGATGCAAATGACGCCTACGAAGAATCAATTTAGAACAGCTCTTGAGGATACTGGGAGAGGATGTAAATCTCTGACACAAATTCCTTCAGTTATAGTGATGGAAGAATATAATAGCTTTATCAAGCCTTTGCCTCCATGGCTAATAACTGCTCTAGGAATGGATCTGCACCAAGGAATCATTGCAGGCAGAAAGTTTAACCCCTCTCCCTTCCGTTAGCATTTAGCCAAAGAAGACATTGTAATATTGTAATGGAAGATGAATTTCACACATAGCAAATAGGCAAATATACTTTTGCCTATTCCTTATTAATAACATCCCATGCTTATGCCATAATAAATCTCATTTTGTTTACTGTACTATGGCTTAATGTGCCATTGACTTCATATGAATTGAATTCCACATAAGCTTTTGGAATCAAACATTTTTAAAACTGAGAAGTGCAATCTGATTCAAGGAAATATTGTATGTAGTATTGGATCATTGGCCCTCTCATTACTCATTGCAGCATTTCCAGTACTGCTAACAGATTATATCTTAACTTTGGTCTAAAGCAGTGGTTCTCAACCTTTTTAATGCCGCGACCCCCAACTGGTCATAAGTCGAGGACTACTCAACCGGTCGTAAGTCGAGGACTATTCAACTGGTGCAGCATCATTTGCAGAATGGGACTTTTGGTGGGCTCAGCAGGGCAGAGACAGCCTGGACAATTCCTATTGGCTTTTGAAAGCCAATAGAATTAGACTCTATTCAAGAGAGTCTATTCTATTGGCTTTCAAAAGCCAATAGAATAAAAGGGAGTAGCACAGCTAAGGAAAAGGGGGAAAAAAATGGCGGCCTGCATAGTTTGGCGACCCCCGTGAAATGGTTGTTCGACCCCAAATGGGGTCCCGACCCACAGGTTGAGAACCACTGGTCTAAATCAACAACTCTAGAGTTTCTACCTGGAATTGGCTATGGTGTAAATCTGGGTTGATGAAGTTGGCATTACATTCTATCTGTGAACATTAGTTAATTTCTCTTTCCTTCAATGAACTAATGAAATGGCAATCAATTAAACACTACTTTAATTTATTAGTTAATGATTTTAACTAATTTTAACTTATTAGCCTTTAGGTCTGGGGAAAGAATAATTTATCTGCAGTTGGAAGCATACTTTGAGATGAAATACAAATTACATTAGAGGTCCCCAACCTTTTGGGCACCAGGGACCGGTGCCATGGAGAAAGTTTTTTCTGCGGACAAGAGGTGGTGTGGTTTTGAATACTGCCTGCATCCCAAAGATGGAACTTTGTTTGTTTGTGTGGCCTGCTTGCTGGCATGCTGCGGACTGGTGCAGGTCCATGGACCGGGAGTTGGGGACCCCTGAATTACATAACAGGGCATTATCACTTCAAAAGAGACACATCTGTGTATGTGAAAGAATGAAAAGCAATTTTGGAAAAATGGACCTGCCATCTGTAATTAACAGTATCTATATGTGTCTTTACTTTGCTTGATTAATCAGGGGCATCTTTTTAGTTAATTAAAAGTGTTTGAATCCATTACTTTACCAATCAATATTGATAATCAACATTCTACAGTGTGGCTAATGCCATTGCTGTTGTATAACCACTGAAATACAAGCAGGAAATTTCTTCATTCATCAACACAATCAAGCTTTTAAATGCTTACCATGGAGAACCATATATCCTGAAGCCTCTCACTGTTACCTCTGAATCTTGCAGGTATATGCAGTTCGTTAAGAGAGATTGCACATTTTCATAACTTTCTGGCTTCAGTTTAGATACTGAGGGAAAATAATAAAAGTCCTGCTTGATTAAGTCTGCCATGAACTCTTGATCGAATGTCAGCTCATGATTACCTGCTATCACAATCTTGTATTCATATGGTAGACTACCTAAAAAGGAGAAAAATAGACATTGTTCAATGTGGCATTTGTGTTTTTTAAAAATGACATTAAACTATGCCAGTCTTTCCAATGTGCTGTGTGATAGAATAAGAACTTCAGAATAGGCACTTTATCCAGCCAGGAAATTCTAGGAACTTAAATTCAGAAATTCATTTATTCTAAATTGTGCTGAAGATGTATCTGGACACTCCAAAGAAAGATTAAAAATGAAACACACTATACTTAGAATTCACTGAAGTTAGGTAATTATATGTTTTGCATTAATACCTTGCTTTTTCTCTTGAGAACTCACAGTGAATTATGTTGGAATCCCGCTTCAGTTTATCCCTGAACATGTATAACCCTAAATAGCTTGAGGGCTGTGTCAGAAAAAACCTGGTTTTTTCTCATCTAAGCTTCACCACTACCTTAATTTGAGCTCTCATACAATGAGCCAAGCTAAAGTGATTGGGATCGTAGTTGTATATTTTTAAATACATGATCAACCTACTTCACCTGCATATTGGTGCCACTCTTATTCAAATTCTGTATCAACGTGGTGGGCCATTTCCTTGACACAAATGTTCACTTTCCAACACTTGTTGGAAGTCACTTCAATCCTCAAAATGTATTGCTAGTGATACCCTGAGACTGGAGACAAGCCTCATGAAAGTGGAAGCTAGAATGTGAATGATCATAGTCAACTACTCAGCTACTGGCTCAAACTATTCCTTTCCCCCCTTGACATCTCCTAACTATGATGGAAGATTTTCAGTCTACATACAAGAAGGCAGTGGCAATTAAAACTTTATCCTTGGACTTCTTTCCCAAGTCTTCTACTCAGCAGGTCATTGAAGCACTCATTAAAAAGTGTGTAACAGACACAGAGTGCCAACTGGATCTAGCCAGATTCCCAAACTTTATTGCCAGAGAATCAAACAGATACTCTCAGAGGTACCCTATGGCAAACTTAACTAATCTTGAAGTACCTAACCATTAGCAGAACTTTACACTGGGACACTCTCATACCCTTCCCTCAACTGAGAGACAATGCCCTTGTGATTTTAGGCAAACAGAACATGTACTCCTCCAGTGGCTGTATTGCACAGACATTTGAAACAGCCTTATCTCACAATTACTGCATAAATAGCCAGGGCACCCAGGATAATTATATGATAAATTTAAATATTTAAATGAATTAAAGTTGCTTTGCAGCAAATGATTTCTTTGCTGCACATCATCACATTCTCTTTCAGATACACTGAAGTTACCTGAGTACTTTTTAAACTTCAACATCCCACAGTTTTTTCACATATGTCTAGGATACAGGTTTTGAGCTGCTATTCTTAAATCTCTGATATATGTAAAGAAGTGTGCTAAGTTTATGTTAATAACTTTATCCCCATTGTTATTTCTAAATATTTTTCAGCCATCTAAGATACCCATCTATCAAACATAACTAGTTTAAGCTAGCTGGTGTTATTGCTTCAGTGAATGTATTTATGTGGGTTATTTAAATAAATTCCTCTAAACATACAGTTACATTTATTATAGTGGCAGCTGCAATCAATATGGTGGTTACAGATATGTCAGGTTTACCAATTAACAACTCTGGTTCTGATGACTTTGCAAAATAGGTTTCCTAGTCTTCCCACAGGCATTGGTAACTTGGAAAGTCTCCTTTTAACATGGAGAATCATAGGATTAATTCCCCTCACCAAAATATTTAGGCACAATTTTTCAAACAGGCAAATTTGTATAATTAATAATCTTTGGGCAGTTTATTTTTATCATCATTTTTATTTTTACTGTTGTTTTTATGTTACGTTTTGTTCTTTCTTTCTCTGCATCTGATTGACACTTAACACCTTTTTCAATCTGGGCGAATAGAAAAGATGAATATTAACAAAGTATTATTATTGTCATTCTTAATTATAATTTGAGTTAAGACAAGACAGTTTCCTATACTTCTGAAGGCTCATCCACAGATGCTCCTTGTTCAAGGTTGAGAATAGTCCAGTAACAACAACACTGTCCTCAACTAATTCCTGTCTTTGAAGAAGAATTCTTCTCTGTTCTATATCAAAAATACTTTTGAAGGCACAAGCAGCATGAAAGGATTCTTCCCCACAGTGGATTGGTCATTTTTTTTACAGGTTTATCTTTGGATTGGTGAAAAAGTGGTCCCCACCCCTTTCCTTTTGTTTACCTGAAATGGACAAGCATTCATCCAATTTCTCCTTCTATATGCCAACTGATAGGAAGTTAAATGGTGGTATTTTCTTTCTTTTTTAATTGTCTACAAGTGGAAGTTCCAAACTGAAAGTGTCCAACACAAAAAGGAGTTAATAGAGGGGGGGGAGTCATTTAAAAATCTATCAGTGAAAGCCACCATCTCAAAGACCCACTCATGGAAAAGAAAGCCATTGGTGCTTGTTTTCCTAGCATAGGCGGGAAGGACAAAGAAGCAGATGAATTCACCAATCGGGACCATGGTAACCACCATCAGCGTGAAAAGATTGGTCAGTGTTGAGGAATGGATTGAAATCTAGACCACAATTCACGAACTTTCTCTATTTCGATCTGGTGCCAGCAAGGCAAACAAACAGCTTAAAACATTGTGGGAAGTCAGCCCCCCAGAGAAGGAAATATTAAAAGGCCAGAAAAATATATTTTCTCAAAGGATCTTAAAGAGACAGAAAAGCATGCCCAGTTTTTCTTAATAGCCCCAAGTCTGCCTCCCCCCTACATCTGTACAAATGCAGATGTAAACCATCAGGAAAGTTGGAGCTAGGAGATTAGGAAGACAAAGACCTAAAATCTGCATACCCCACCTGAAACAGGACATGGTAGGATTAATTCACAAAGGCCAAAGGGCACACCCAAACTCAGGTCAGAATACATGACACAGGAAATAACCTCAAAACAGGAACAGGAAATAACTCCAAACAAAAGGCTCCAGAGCAGTGGTTCTCAACGTTTGTGTGACGGCGACCCCCGTCACACAAACGTTCTGCGCATGCGCGGCGCCGCGTGCATGGGGGCAGGACCACGCACGTGCGGCGCACATGCGCAGCGCCCCCACGCACAGCGCGCATATGCAGCGCCACCCCATGTGCGGCGCGCATGCGCAGCGCCGCCCCATGTGCGGCGCGCATGCGCAGCGCCGCCCCCTGAGGGGAGAAAATGGCGGATTGCCTTCTTTGGCGACCCCCGAAAAATGGTCGATCGACCCCAAATGGGGTCGCGACCCATAGGTTGAGAACCGCTGCTCCAGAGGGTATAAAAACCTATTCCCTACATGTGCTTAGCCCTTTTTTCACTTCTCTTGCTGCCAGAACCATCTTCCTGTCTGGCTCTCTTCTCCAATAAACTACAACCTTCTTCCCAAAGCAGTTGCCATGTTTATTCCCAGCTTGGATGAACCACGATGAAGACCTTTCTTCCAACAACAGCTATGCAGAACAACCCTACTGGAAAAGTATGAGGAAGCCTTTCAAGAGGGAGAAAACAAATCCTACACGGCGAGCTAAATGAAATCCACTCATCCCACAGAAGTCAATGGGAAGAAGTTGCACAAATATCCCAGAGATGTCTAGTGAAAGATATATGCAGGCTACTTCAACACAACCTAGCTGGGGAGTAGAACCCCATTAATATGATTGTTAAATCATGCAAAGGATTTTGCTGAATCACAGAACTTCAGAGAACACATTTAGATGGAAATGGCTTTTCCATTCTAGTTCAAGAAAGAAATGATATAGATGTTTTATTCATCTGCCTTTGCAATCACAAGTAACCCCCAATTTGCTACAGCTATTTTCAGCTTAAGATGATCATATAGTGGGGAAGGGAGGTGACCATGTGTGCCCTTTCTCTGCACCGAAGCACAATTTTCATACTAGTTTATAGTTTCTATGCTTCAGTGCAGACAAAGATGCTTCTTCTAGTTTCCAAAACCCTTTGCCAGGGCACTCCATTCCATATTCTTCCCAGTGTTCAGTTTATCTTTCAGTGAATTTTATTTATTTACTTAGCCAATCACATAATTAAAAATGAAAAAAAAATAGTTACAAATACACAGCTAACATGAAACTCGTTAAAAAGTAATTGAATAGCAATAGCACTTAGACTTATATACCACTTCAGAGTGCTTTACAGCCCTAAGAGGTTTACAGAGTCAGCATCTTACCCCCAGCAACCTGGGTCCTCATTTTATTGACCTCGGAAGGATGGAAGGCTGAGTCAACCTTGAGCCAGTCAAAATCGAACTGCTGGCAGTCGGCAGTCAGCAGAATTAGCCTGCAATACTGCATTCTAACCACTGCGCCACCAAGGCTCTTAAACTGAAACAATTTAAAACTGCATGAGAGTATTTATTCAAGATATTTATGGCCAGGGGATCTGAGGCATGTCAAAAAACGGGTGGGGTTTTGTTCACATGGCTATGATCACCTTGACTTCTCTCACTGCTCCACAGACTTCCCCTCCCTGTTGCTTTGTAGCTCCTGAGGATGGGTCTTGCCTCAGTGCCCTGTTTCTGGCTGTCCTCTCCCACTGTAATTTTGTCACAATTTTTTATTCCAGGTTTTAGTATCGTCTGTAAAGGTTTACTAGTTTTATTATGTCTCCTGTTTCTATGCTTTTTCTGTTTTATGTGAGTTTTCATTGCAGTTATTTTAAATCCACAGCTATCCTGAAAAACGTGCACTGATCAAAAGAATATGCATGTTTGAAAGTCAGTTTTGGAGTAGTGGTGAAGGCATTCTGCTAGAATTAGCCGCTGAAGACCTTTGGGCCAGTCACTCTCTCTCAGCTCTAAGATGCAAGCAATGGCAAATTACTTCTGAAAAATCTTGCCAAAAAACCTGCAGGGACTTAACCAGACAGTCTCCAAGAATCAGACAGGATCGAACAAAGGAAAGAAAAATGTGCAAACATTTACTCAAAAGTAAATTCCATTGTGCTCTTCAAGATCTACTCTTGGACATGAACCCAGATATTAATTA